ATATTAACGATCAAAAGTAAAAAATTTTATGTTTGTCAAAATTTATAAAAAAGAATAGAGAAAAATATACACTATACATCTTCATCAACATTCGATTCTAGTCCAACTTCATTCGACATGCCTAATCGTGCTACATATAAAAAAACTCAGAAAAGTTCAAAAAGGCTTAGACAACTTTGTAGTAAAACAAGAGCAGAATAATAAGATAATTATCAGATTATCTTGGCTTTTGTATTCCTTCTGGGCTAATACAATTTTACAGTCGTTTGGCAGATTCATGATTCAAAGTAACATCTCTACTTTTATATGTCGGATTGATGGTGTTGTAGAGTTGCGGATGGTGATATTGAATCACGATGATATAATGTCGTTCGATGCTATAAATTATTTGAAAAGAAAAAGAATAATTAGATGAGACTTGAAGCAATTCAATAACTTATATTAATAAGCTTCATTAATAAGACGTAGGCAACAGTTAGGAAATATGTTACAATTGTCTCGAGCACAACAAATCCCAGTGCTACTGTACAAAGTACAGTTTATTTCCATTCAATGCTCGTTGGAAATAAAGCAAAATTCTTTTTAAACTGTCTACCACTTTCTATAGCGCCAATCCAATAAGTAAACAAAATTATTTGGTTTCGGTAAGTGGATATGGTAGTGAGTAAATAATATCATCGTATCGATTGGACAAACATATTATAGAATTAACATATAAAGAAATTAGATGAATTGTTAACATCAATTGAATTAACCTATAACAATTCCGTATACGTCTCAACAAGTTTTTCACCATTCTTTCTCACTGCAGGTCGTCATCCACGCGTCGCTTACGCAACATGGTTTCTAATAATCAAGAGAACCTGCCATCCGAGAATGAATCGTGTATTTTTACCCTTCCGGTTGTCTTTGCGACGATCGAAGGTTAACTAAGCGTCGGAGATGAACGTTACTTGTATTCACCAATAGAATATGTTTGACCAATCGATACGATGATATTATTTACTCACTACCATATCCACTTACCGAAACCAAATAATTTTGTTTACTTATTGGATTGGCGCTATAGAAAATGGTAGACAGTTTAAAAAGAATTTTGCTTTATTTCCAACGAGCATTGAATGGAAATAAATTTTACTTTGTATAATAACATCGGAGCAGTTTACAGGAATCAAGGTGATTATGAGAAAGCATTGAAATCTCATGAAAAATCTCTTGAAATTCAATTGATTTCACTTCCACCAAATCACCCTGATATTGCAACAACATATAATAACATCGGAGCAGTTTACAGGAATCAAGGTGATTATGAGAAAGCATTGAAATCTTATGAAAAATCTCTTGAAATTCAATTGATTTCACTTCCACCAAATCACCCTGATATTGCAANACAGGAATCAAGGTGATTATGAGAAAGCATTGAAATCTTATGAAAAATCTCTTGAAATTCAATTGATTTCACTTCCACCAAATCACCCTGATATTGCAAGAACATATAATAACATCGGAGCAGTTTACAGGAATCAAGGTGATTATGAGAAAGCATTGAAATCTTATGAAAAATCTCTTGAAATTCAATTGATTTCACTTCCACCAAATCACCCTGATATTGCAACAACATATAATAACATCGGACTGGTTTATTTCGATTAAGGTGATTATGAGAAAGCATCGAAATATTATGAAAAGGCACTTAGTATCGTACGAAGAACATTGCCTCTTGCTCATCCTGCTCGGCGTGTGATCGAGTCACCTATAACGACTGTACGTGAAAAGCTTTCGAAGTAGAGAACTATTTTCAGTAGTTCATATGTTTTCTTTGTGTCACTGCAAAAACCTGTCTGAATGAGTGAAGACTAACTGGCGACAATTGATTTTAAAATTCACCATTAGGACATGAAACATTTTGAACAACATATTCTAATTCAGCGCCGAAAGGCGAACATTTTGAAAAACAAATCAAGGCTTCAACTAAAAAATTTCAATTTTTCAACTTCATTTAAAACTGAATTCAACTTTTTTTCAAATGAATGTAGCTCAGCTCGGCTGAGAGACGGAGATTTGGTTCACACGTGGTTGGATAGAGAACTTATGACTGAACAAACGTAGAGGTTTGGCGAGATTCCAATACCATGTAGTCAAGGTTTGATAGGAGATCTTCAGAAAAGCTTCTTTTAATTTCAGTTTAGTTGTCTAAAAGAGCGAAGACGAGCTGGCGACAATTGAGCAAGTATACCAGTTTGTAGAAGACTGTTGCTCTACAGGATGATAGTTTGTCAAGTTGGAAAATATTCTAATTAATCACAGATAAACGGTAGCACTGTGAGGGACATACTAACTAGAGATCCGGATGGGCCGGAAATATTTGGCGCTGCCCGATGATGAAACTTTCCGAACCAACCCGGCTCAGTCAGACCAAACGTGGGATTTATCGAGCCCGTTCCGTCCAATCCTGGAATTTTTATTGCCGAGCCGAACTTGCCCAACCACTTTTTAAAGTTTTCTGGTTCCAGACATAATTTTTCCTGCATCTGCAGTGCTTTTGTATTGCGCGTAATACGCTACATTTTGTTTATTCCAATACTGACGATTATTGGTAACCAGCTAAAGTGAAAGAAGTGACTGAGATTAACATTTATTAAAATATTTATCAACGTGAACTTGCTTTTCCGCAACGTATGCGCTACGTTGCGATTTCGAATATGTTTCATTTGACTTGATTAAATGCTCTCAGTGGCAAATAAAGCGTTTTTCCTTTATGAATATCGAAATACAAATGTTTAGATATGAGAATTGTTTCTGGGGTAATTCCGGACAGGTCCGTGCACTTTAAAATTTATTTATCTAGCTCTCTCATAACGCCTTTCGTTGTTGGAGTACAAAAGAATTGAGTTTCTATTTACGATAAAATGGCGTGATCAGGGAGCCAGCGACACATATAACCGCTATAGTTCTCCCATCAACATGTGTAAAATGATTTTTTTTAGGTATTTGTAGAGCTCTGTTCGATGTTGAAAGCTGTGCAACTTATGTTAAACCGATCTGGAGACACTAATGTGGATATCTGCAGATGTAGAAAATTTCATTTTCTATTAGACTGTAAAGGATTAAACCCTTAAACCACATACTTTTAAAATTATAGATTTTACAAGTTTTGCACCAAACTTCTCTCGTACTTTTCTTATTTTTCCGTATTCACGACTCGGAATAGGGATGTTCTCAGAAGACTAGCGATCAAAACAATGTTTTTCTTCTCTTTTATATCGCAAAATTTATTTAGGAGGTGGCGGACCTCTCCTGGTTTTTCCATCACTTTGTTGCCTATGCCGATTTACATGGCTGATGAAACGTCTCAACTTCCCAGATACGTTTTTCCAATTTCTTTTAACTTTTAAAATTTAAAAGTAATTTAAAAAGCTTTTTAA